AATTTATGATAGATATTCTTATAGATTTTTAAAACCAATCTCATGAGCATGGGGCCAGGGAGGGTAGAGGATAAATTGAGTTAAATTGGTAATGAGCTTCTCTCTCACTGTGCTTTGAAGATGCTCACCTCATCTTCTGACTCTGAATAAGCAATTTGCCTGCCTAATTAGGTTAACCAGTAATTTCCCTTTTGACACACGGGCTGCTTGATTATTTTGGGGTAACTGTGATTCTGTTTCATTGCTTCCTTCCTAAGTGAATTTCTCAAGTCGCCTCTGGGATTAAAACACAGAGTACATTCTCACTACTCCCCAGACCCACCATGCCTCCTGACACTTCCAAGCCTTGACTTGTGCAATTGCTTCTACTGGGAATGCCTCTCTCAGCTCTCATGCTCAGTGAGATCCTACTTGGCCTTCAATCCCAGGTGCATAATGTGAGTGGGACAAAGGAATAAGCCTTTGCACCTTCAGGGCAGAAGAAATGGCTCTTTCTACTGTCATCTCACAGTTCTTTAAAAAATTCATATTAATAGCTGGCATAGATTAAGGACCAACACAGACCAGAGACTTCACAAATGTTGTACTGCAAACTCCCAGCAACACTTCAGTGAAGGAAGATGGCATGCTGTTTTTGTATTTTTTACATTATTGTGGAAAAACATACATACCCCTGTTAACCATTTCTCAGTGGCATTAAGTGCATTTACACTGCTGTGCATCACCACCATCCACCTCCGGAACTTTTCCATCATCCCAAACTGAAACTCTGCCCCCATTAGACAGTAACTCCTCCTTCCCTCCTCTCCCTGCCCCTGGTAACCACTGGTATGTCTTCTGGGCAGTGAGGAAGCTGTAGCTCAGGGAGGTCAGGTGATTTTTGTCTGAGGTTTCAGAGCTGGGACCTAGCAGGGCCAGGGTTTGGGGTCAGGCCTCCTCACAAGACCCCAGGACCACTGTTCTTTCTGCGCACTGCCGGCAACACTTCCATTTAGATAGGGCCACAAAGTTGTCATAGTTCCACCTTCCTGGCTATGTATCTAGACTCTCACTTCCATAATAATAGCTTGCGTATAGAAAGAAACTGGCACAGTTATAGAACAAATTATAGCGTGAATCTACAAAAGACACACTGGTAGTCTGACCCAGTGGTTGGGAATGGAGTTCAAACTGCAGACTTTGCTTTCTAAAAAGCATTATTGAATGCCAACTGTGTGCCTGGCATGATGCCAGCTCTTCTCTGCTGCCCACGAATCTGCTGGTCTCACTCGGCAGGAGAGGATCGAGGCCTGGCTCTGCCCCATAGCCCTGAGGAGGAAGATTTGTGTTTACATTATCCAGTCAATTCTGTATTTATTTTGGGTATTAAGCAGTGACATAAAAGCTGCTGACATTAACCTTCAGGGGCAGAAATTGGTTTTAATGGACCCCGTAAAAGTCATTATTGATGGCAGCTGCATGCAGCATCACCGTGATCTCAGCAAACGCTCCACCACTGTCAATACTGTTGACAATCACAATTGACTAATGCACAGCAGGGCATGGATGCAGAGTCGATGTTTCTGAGGCTGGAAGTCGCTTGGCTTTACGCTTTGCATTTCACATCTGGTAGGGATCTGAGAACTTGGTCACACAATTTTGGCAGCCTCAAATGAGAGTCTCACACTTTCGCTGACTCAAATGGAGGTGGGTAAAGGGCTCAGACTGTAGCGTCAGAGCGATCTGAGTTCAAATGAAGCTTTGTAGACACGCTGGCTTACTGGCTATACAATCCTGATGTTTTTAGAGCCTCAGTTTTCCCATCTGGGAAATGGAGGTGAGAATTAAAGGCACTCCGAGGCTTGACACAGGTAGGAGTCCCTCTGCTCCTGAAACGTGGCAACTTTGAATTGTTGGCTTATCTGTCTAGTGGAATGGAGCCCTGTTTTGATGGTAAAATCCTAGTTTCCATCAAAGAAAAGGAGAATGGTGGCCAGGCGGATGATGGTAAGAGGAAGAGCGGAGGGCAGGAGAAGACAGGGGTGTGCACAGGGCAGGGAGAAGAGGGAGAGCCAGCCGGGAAAGAACCCAGACTCCTGCATACAGCCTGGCTCCAGCCACACCTGACATGGTCCTCAGCTGTTAGTGAGGAGCCAGCAGTGTCCGCAGGAGCCCTGTGAACCTCATCAATGGGGGAACGGGAGCCACTCCTGGGCCGGGCTCACCGTCAGCATGCTGCACTCTCATCACTCACACCTGAGTATAACCAAGGTGCTCACGTAACTTCCCAGCAGCAGCAAGTGAAAAAGCACATGGGCACCTGTGCGGTGTCTGGGTTAGGGGATTTCAGCCCTTGTAAGGGATGTGCAGGTCAGGGGGTCTTTGTTAGATTCAACCCACCCACCTCTTCCATCTGCGCATCTTCCCTGAGTGCAGGAGGCTTAGAGAGCGGCAGCCAGTGTGGAAATGGCCAATCCGGAGAGAGTGGCACAGCCAGGAAGCAGGCAGCCATTTCCCCGTCCTCATTATCGAAGGCTGAAGCTCTTCAGGCTCCTCAACTATGTCATTATCACCTAGCAGAGGCTTAATTCGGCTATAACTCAGCTCTTGGGGAATATGTAATAATGTGGGCGGTGTGCACCTCACTCTGTCATGACTTTATGGAAAAATGATCATTTGTCACCATGGCAAGAAGCCTTCAAAAGAATAAACAACCCAAGTATTTTGCTGCAGAGGAAATTCACTATAACTAGGACTACAAGAATAAAAATTTTGGAGTCATATTGACCTGAATTCAAATCCCACCTTGCTCGCTGTGTGACTTATGTAGGTTTCCTGACCTCTCAGTGCTGCAGTTTCCTCATTCTGTGTGGTGGGGATAATAAAGCCTACCTCAGAGGGCTGTAGGGGGGAATAAAAGAGACCATATAACTAAACCACTTAACACATGGGGGTCTGATAATCATCAGCAGCTATTAACTATTAATGTTATTATCATTTTCCTCTTGGGTACTTTCATCTTAATGTAAGCACTTACAATCACAAAATCCTGAATCAAGAAGGGCCTGCATATCTTTCAGCTCAGTTATTCCCAAAAAGTGTTCATTAGAACATCAAACCCATCTGATGCTTTGAGAATAAAGGGTTCTATGCTCAGATCTTTTTGGGGAATATAGCATATATCCCTCCTTGCTAATTTGTCCATTACTATGCACATTGACATATTAAAGGCTCTGAGAAGTTCTGCAGTTAAGAAGTAGGTTTAAATGCATTTAATGCAGTGTTTCCTACATTATTTGACTACAGAGCACTGTCCCCCACTGCAATCTAAGAAGCACTAACAATCTCAGAATACAGGAAATGCTGATTTTGTTTGAACTACTTCTTTTATAGATGAGGAAACTGAGATCCTGAGAAAGGATCTAACTTGTTCAATGCCACACCCCAGGTCAGTGATGGAACTGAGACTTCTTGCCTCCCAATCAGAGACTCCATTTTCTCTACAGACCTTGCACATGAATTTGAATTTGGTGCTCTGGATCAGTGCATGGGGGTGGTGGGGTGGGGGCCAGAGGAGGGGCTGCTGGCTTGGCCTGGCCTCGGTGGGAAGGTGGATGAGGGAGGGTGGATGGCTCCCCACTGCAGAGAGCTATCTCCTTTGGGTGCTGAGGTCACTGGCCCTCTCACAGGGCTGGCTGGGGGTCAGCAGAAGGTGACAGCGCCAAACCCTGATCTGGGAACTGCTGTTCCCCTCCCCCTCACACAGGTGCACAGGCTCCTAGGCACACATCTGTGTTCTCTGGGAGGGGTGGTGGAATGGACGTTTGGAACTCTGTGGCACCTGGCTCTAAGGAGATAAACTTCACACCTGACCCTGACCTTACTATCTTCTGCCTGAGCCCAAATCTGGGACTGCATTGTGCATAACCCAGCTGGAGCATCCTTGTCAGAGGCTAACCTGCCCCTGCCTCCACCTCTGACCCGGCCCCTGCCCTGATGCTGGGGAACCCTGGGCAGGAAGCATTAGGATCTTGCATTGGAGCTGGATGCCAGTAGTGGGGATGGGTATCTGGTTTGGTTGTTCCCCTTCTCATTCAGACTGCCCTTCCCACGGCTGATGTGGAGGTGCCCACAGACCCCTCACTGGGCTCCTGAGAAACATAAGCCCTCTTCCGGGCAGATGGGCTGTCTCTGGTCTCTGCCACCTTCCCTGAGTGTTTGCTGCCAGGCCCCAGCAGAACCTCAACGCTGACCTGGGTCCACAAAGCTGCCCAGAGTCTGGCTGGGCACAAAGCACCAGAGAAGGGGAGATGGTCACGAGCAGCCCTCTGCAGAGCCCTCACAATCTGCCAACAGGGTCCTGATGGTACAGAGGCAAAATCTGAAACCAGGATGCTTTTTTCCATGTGCAAAGGAGGTATGTGCACTAGCTGTCACCTCTCCCACAGCAGCCCTCAGGCCCTGGAAGAAGGGATGGCGTGGATGAGGGTGGATACAGAGCCCAGAGCCAGAGCATCCCCCGGTCTGCAGATGAGATCATGGGAAAGCTGCAGCAAACCCTCAAGTTCTAAGTTACCCCAGCAGGACAGTTTCCTTCAGAAGCCACCTTCTCATCAACATGAGACACTGGGGCGGGCAGCACCTGTGGCTGTTGCCCAGGATTGTGGAGCACCTGGGGGCTGGATTCAGGCAGGACTGGCCCGGCTGATTCGACAGAGGACAAGCTGTGGGGACTTGTTACCACTGTTCCCTCATGCCCAGGCACCTTGCAAGCAACAATCCCACTCTTTAGGCACCTCGCAGCCCCACCTGAAAGGAAAGAGCTGCAGCCCAATCTCTGGCATGTTACCAATGGGTGGGTATTTCATGTGCAAGATGCTCTGACTTTTGACTACTGAGAGCAAAGCAATTTTTCACCAACTTCACCAGAGCCCCAAGCGATGGAGCAGAAAATCAATATGGCAATGAAAACCCTGGTCCCACAACCCAGGCGCCTGGCACAGGCCAAGCAGGCCACTCACCGGTCTCGGTGTTCTCGTGCTCCGTGTCGGTGAGTGTGAGATTGGAGTTGGCCCGGCTGGACAGGCAGGAACTACGCCCCGACCGTGTGCTCCGGCCCCACAGGCGTACCGGGTGCTCAGGGGACAGCATGGTATCAGCCTCCATGTCGGCATCAGAGCTGGCCCCCAGGGAGTAGCCGCAGTGGGGGAGGCCAATGTCTGTCCGGTACAGGGTCCCATGAGGAGGCGTCACCTCCCCCAGCCCCAGCTCACGAAGGGTAAAGTTGGCGCCTGGGAGGAAACGTAGGTGAACCTGGTTAGGGCACTGAGGATGGGTCTGCCCTGCAGAAGCCTGGCCCCTAACCCAGGACTGACTGTTGTCCTTTGAGCTCCCTATGGTGTTCTGTGTACATGCCTTTCCTCTGCCTTGATGGCTCCTTCTGCCCCTTCCCCATCAGCCTATATCCTCTACATTCTTTAAGGCCCAATGTATATGGCACCACCTCTGTGAAATATCCCCTAATATCTTCATCCCATGCAGATGTCATTGCTTCTTCCTCTGGGCTCCCTCTGAGAGTGCATGCCCCAGTCACACTGCACAGGAGAAGGAAGGGCCTGACTCCTGTACTGGAAGGGGCCTGTGTAGGGGCAGGGACCAGGTCTTGCTCACTGCTAAATCCCTCTGTCTAGGACAAAATCTGGGACTCGGGAGGGGCTCCATAAATGTCTGTTAAATTGAACAGAGGGCCTCAGGTCTCCTCTTCCAGCCCAGAGAGGATTGCCAAGCAGCAGCACGCAGGAGCAGGGCAGAAGCCCAGTCAGTGAGCTGCAGATGGCTCTCCTGGGACCTGAAGCTCCACAGTGAAGATGGTTGGTGGCTGGCAGAGGAAAGGGCCTCATGTAGGGAGACGGGCTCCGCCTTCTGCCGCTGCACAGCAGGCAGGGCTGTACCACGACAGGAGCCACCTGCTTTGGAGGAACCCAGGTAGCCAAGCACACAGGCAAAGCGGGGCCACTGAGAGGTCTCTGGAGGGCTCGGGAAGGCCTGGTGATGTCAGGCTGGAGGCCAGAGGGATGTAGGTAAGGAGAGTACACTCGGGGACCGCTAAGAGAAAAGGGAATGTTGACTTCCATCAGAAACACGGCCTCCACGTTACTCCTGAATGTTAATTCAAGGTCTGTTCAGGGAGAGCTTCTCCCATATTTCTAACATCCCCACAAGTCATGAGGAGGAGAGGGTGGGCAAAGGCATGGAGGGTCATATTCCAATTAAACCACCGATCTGGGAAGTGGACTTATGTAATCAGGTTATACCCACATTTAAACCAATTCAAGCTGGCCCTGGGGCCTTACTGCCATACAGCAACAGGCAGGGCATGGTGACTGACTTTACAGGGCCCACAAAATAGTGGGTAAGACACAACCAAAGAGTGACTGAGGGTTAAGGTTCAAGGTAGAAACATCATGGAGAGTGTTCTGGGAGTGTAGAGGGTGGATATTTGGGGGGGTTAGATCAGAGGAGAGGTTTCCAATGAGAGTGAATGTGAAGAAAAGAGAAAGAAGAGAGAACAGATAGATGGTGGAGCTTTGAAGGAACTGCCAGAGGGGTGGGAAGGAAGCGGGCAGAGATGGCTTCTTACCATCCTGAGCGTCACTCTAGCCAAACAACATGTGTCCCCCAGGTATCCTCATCAGCTCTGTGTCTGGTGTCTCTGCACTGCACAGAGTAATAGTGAAATAAAGTGACAGATACACTGGCAGTACTCTGGGCTGCAGCTGAAAGGGAAGTGGCGGAGGCTGGCAGTGGGCAGGGGGTGGCCCATGCCTGATGCTCAGGTGGCTCATGCTGGGAAAGCCTGAATTTGAGGTTAAAGTCATGAAATAGTTCCACGCTGGTTGGTGACTAACTGCTGCCTGAGCCGCCTCATACCCAATGCCCTGGCCGTCGCTCTGCCCACTCCAGCCCCTTCCCGGCAAGCACCCCCTCCCCAGTCTCCCCAGATCAGTTACTAAGCAGTTAATGTTAGCAGGCCCTGCACAGCAGGGCCTCTGGGCTCTGCTCAGTGGCCAGCAGACATTCTGATTGGCCAGGGTCTGGGCCAGACCAGATGTTACATATTTTTAATATCTCCCCTAAGTGCCATACTGCAGTCTGCACTCCTCTTCTGCTCTCTTTCTAAAGAGAATAAAACTCCAAATTGAAGCCTAAGTCCCCCCAGTATGCCTCCTACCTTGTCTGCGTGACCTGTTTGCCTCTTTCTGATCTCCTATCCCCACCCCTGTCCTGCCCCCTGCCCCTGCCTCAGACCGCTTCCTGGCTCCAACAGGCTGGCCCTCTCAAGGGAGGCCAGTCACATATGAAGAATGACTGCTACACTGAGTGAAAAATCAAATTGATTTGCAGTGA